AAGGCAAATGTGACCAAAAGAGGCTTTATTCCTGCTTTTAACTAAAACACAGCCCCTTGGATGTGTTAATGTTGTGCTGTTGGGCTTGGCTGGCCCTGTTCCCGCAGCCCATGTCAGTGCAGCTCGGTGTAACTGGGGGTCACTGGTGTGCTCTTCCAGGCCCTGCAGCGTTCCCCTCGCCGAGCTACAGAAACCTCTTCTGTCGGATGTGAGCACTGACACCCTCCAGTTACTGGAAATCCTCTAGGAAGTTTGAGTTGGCTCCCTGTTATTATGCAAGCTTAGCTCCATTAGAGTCAAATAACGACAACGAATTAATTGCTCTCCATCCATGTCCCTGAACTCCTCAATTGTCTGAGCAAACCAGTCCCACCCATGTGAATATTCTAGGACTTCTCCCTTTTCCTTTGTTCGAGAGGCTTTTCTCAAAGTCAGAGCTGTTAATCTCCAAAACTCGTTGCAGCTGGAGGAACCAACCCCACCCAAAGTGCTCACGTGGTCCCTCCAGAGCTCTGATCTGCCCCGGCTGTGATTTATTGGGGTGGGCATGGAATGTGGGGCTGCACGAGGGTCTTCCAGGGGCTGCAGGGAAGGGTTTGTGTTGGACTGGCTGGGGGAGCAGTCTGACCACGAGGAGAGGTGAAATGAGGACCTCTGCTCTGAAGGGCTGTTCTGAACTTGGTAGTAACTTCTTTGGAAACTGGCTTTTCCTCTTCCCTTCCTAAAAAGGAGGAGAAAACATACTTGAGGTAGTTACGTGTCTCCATGGCCGGCTTTAGTCTCCAAATAAGGTGTTGTGCAATAAGTGCTTTCAGGATCCAGAAACCCCTGCAGAAACAGGAGATCCCTGCTCCACCAGTCCCTTCTGGAGCAGTGGCTGTGGCAGCCAGTCCCTAACACCATTCAGAGGCTGGAGAGCCACGGGTGACCCATGGAGCAGCGCCCAGGAGGGGTAATGCATTCATGGGGTTCCCCTTCAGCCACCTTGGGACCTGTGCTCTCTGCTGGCATTGAGCACAGCGAGTTGGGACAATCAAGTGGAGTCCTCCTTGCATGCCATTGCCATCTGTGAAACCAGCTCTTGCAGGAGGGTGGATGTTCTTGGAAGCTTTATGGGTCTCCAGCATTGGTCCATCTTGCCAAAACTGTGCACCATATCTGAGGCCCCAGTTCCTCTGAGGATGCAGCTCCAGATGAATGGGCCAGGCTCCAGACCCTGCAGGTCCAGGTGTGGTGGCCAGGCTGCTGCTGACCAAAGGCATGTCCTCTTCTGGCTGAAGCTGCCTGGCGTTCTTGTGTGGTGCGTGATCTACGTGCTTCTAATGGTGAAACCATCCTGCTAGGAGACACCTTGGCCTTTTGGGATGTTTGTTTCCCATCTGCAGGACTCCTACAAACTCTTCTTGTGATTAGACTGAGGTCCCTGTGGATACACAGGAGAAAAGAGAACTGAAGGTCTTCCAAGGGAGTATGGTCTAAGCATCCTTGATCAGATAAGCGTTATCATCCTTTTGTTACAGTGACTGGTTTAGCAGCTGGAGCTGGCTCCACTCTCCCGTTTCCACCTTGTTTGTCACTTAACCACATCCCTTGTCTGTGCTGTGGTCTCATGACATGTAGCATGCTTCTGCGGGAGGTCAAAACTGATTTATCAAGTCTGTCTTGACCCTGTGCGTAGCTGGAGAGAGGTGGTGGAGGAAGCAGCCTGGTCTGAGCAGCCTCACAGCAAAAGAAAAGGAAGGAGACCAAGGATCACAGAAAAACAAGTGCTGGGCTCATGACGCATTGCCCTTGTGTGGTGGCAAATTCTTCAGTGAAGGTGGGTGCCTCTGGCCTGGGGGGGCCAGGCTGCAGGGGGTGAAACAGCCCCTCAGGCATGTGCTTGGCTGCATTAGATACTGGTCTGGTTCCCCTCGTGCATCTAACTCATTAAAGCCCTTAAAGGAAAGCAGAATATTGCTGTGGGCTCTCATGGCACTCGGTGGATTTATCAGTCTTACAGATGTTCACTGGGACTTCTCAACTCTGCAGTGACTGGGATAAACCAACCTCTCTGCAAAAGCGGCTATTGGAGGAGGACATTAGCTTTCCCTAACTGGCCTTCTTGCAAGCTCTGTGAAAATTTTATATTAACATTAAGTTTCTTCTCCTCAGTGCTCCATAAAACAACTGGGTCTCATGGTGTGAGTGTCCCAGGATGGTGTGCTGGAGCCAGCCCATACTTGGTGGCTGCACAGAGCAGAGATGTTAAAAGCATCCCGGACATCTCAGGGCTCTGTTTTTTCCTTTCTTCACTGTACATCAGCCAGCTCATCGCTGTCTGAGGAGCATCTCAGTAGCCACCCCACCACTGATGTCTCTGGCAGTGAGCTGTTTATTGCACAGCCTTAGACTGGGTGTGTGGAGACCACAAAGCCATGACAGCTAGTGCCTCTGTGTCCATGTATATCCAGTTATACATACGAGGGAGAGCACTTGTGTAGCCACAGCTCTAGGAGGGAGGAGACACGTCTGAGGGGCTGTACTTGTGATAACTGGTGTGTCTGGGCACTGGCAGCTCTGTTTGTGGTCTAGAAGTTTGGCTGGTTTACCAGTAGTGCTAGTCTGGGCACGGCATGGTTTCTTCTAGAGGAACATTCACTGGGAAACACCCAAGTTTAGTCTGAAGTCTCCTCTTTGTGCATGTATTAAATCTCTGGCACTGAACTGGGGATGAGGAGAGCGGAAAGAAGCTTCCACTTCTTGGATGGATTTTTCAAGTCACGTGGTTGTGAGAACAGTGTTTTCTCCATGTGCTGTTGAGGACAGTCCCTTCACCTACAAGTTCAACTGTCACACTGGCTTCAGTAGACCCTTTGGCAAAAGGTCATTGGTCAAGGTATGCTGGGCTGGCCAGGGATACAACAGAAAGACCTTCTGAAGTCTGGTGGGGCTGGACTCTGACCTGCTCATAACTTCTAACCAGGGTCCACCTTGCCAGACCTGCCTTGGCAGCTCAGGGTTCCTTTCCAAAGGAGTTCTCAAACTCTAAACCAAGGTGGAGCCACTTTTGGGTTTCTCTTTGTCACTTGTCATCGTAGGCTTTCTATTTTCCAACCATTGAGTGAACTTACCAGTGTGTAGGATGGCCCTGCCTTTGGCCAGAAAAACAGTGAACCATGGTATTATTGGCATATTCCCAAGATCGTTCAGAGATGTTTTTGTGGGTAGAACGGCCTCAATTTCCTATCATTTCACTACCTAAGAATTTCCTCTGCACTGGCTTGCCTTCTCTCTTTTAATAGCAAGAATGCTATAAGACCAAAAAAAAAGCCAAAACAGAATCTGCGTTGTATATCTAGTCATGGGGAGCAGAATTTTGCTTTTCTTCCAAGCAGTTTGTTGACACAGACTTTTTTTTTTTTAAAAAAAAAAAGCATTACAGATGTCTTCAGACTCTTTTATCTTAAACTTTAGTCTCTCCGTGTTTAACAATGCTGTTCCCAAACGGGCTTGGCCATAGGTGGAGTCTAAGATAGTTGGAGCATTTGTTTCACATTATCTTACTGGGTTTGGGGTTTGTTTTTTTGCTGTGACTTATGTGTTTTTTTTTTTTTTTTTAAAGAAATCTCCTTTTATGCATATTTGAGGAGCCAGAGTGGAGCTGCGAGGAGAAGCTCCATATCTGGGCAGGAAGTCCTGCTGACCAGGCAGCCCGAAAAACAGGCAGCGGCGCCTGTTATGTTTGGCCCCTGCACAGAGATGGGAAAGAGAGAGGCTCCAACCTCCTCGGCTCCGGAGGGAGCAAGGAACGGCCTTGTCCCACAAACAGGGACGTGGCTCTGCGTGGGGTGCTCACCAGGAGCTGCTGCCCAGAGGGGTCTGAGCTCGCAGGGGAGGGTGATGCCACAGTTGGGGATATGTCCCTGAGACTCCACAGGGCCATCCGAGCCACCCCACAGGCAGTGGTGGGGATGAGCTGCCATCCCAGGACCTTCTCCAGCTGCTGGAGACCTACTCTTCCAAGGGCAGAGACACCTGAGCCATCTCGTGAGCCACTTGTTGCCTTGAAGAGCCTCTCAATTTTCACATTTCCTGTTTCATGCCATAAGTTTCTGTATAGCTGCTCTGGAGAGCAGGTACCAGGCTGTTCTGGAGAGCATGGATTCAGTAGGTACTTCCATGGGGTTTAGACTGAGCAAAGAGCAGTTAACCTCAATTAAACTTGGACCTGGGACGTGAAGCAGAAGTTGTGTTTGGACAAGTAGAACAAAATGCCAGATTGAATAAATTACCAAGAAAGGGTCATGTTGACACTGAACTAATAAAGTGAAATTCTGGCTTTACGTATCAACATGGATGTCCCAGGCTGGTGGCCACCCCTAGGCTGTGGGTTCCTGCCCTGACGCTTGGGCTGGGAAGCACCACATTGCCTTTCTGGGGGTTCATCTACTGGTTCTGGGTACTGACCATGCTTTTCCCTTTGTTTTCCCCCTCATATATAATGAAACTCTTCCAAATGAGTTTATTTAATCCAGATGCTTGTATTTTAAATAAACAACCATTTGTAGTCCCTTGCCTGTACTCAGCTTCTGTCTCGCTCATTAAGATTAGTGTCAGTGAAAAAAAACCCAACCCCATCAGTCAGTAGGTATCTAGCATGTGGTTCCAGAATTGGCAAGATTTTAAGTGGTTTGTGCTGGACCACTTAAAATGTGTCCTTATATTTTCTGTAGAGCTGACACATAGCTGAAGAATCAAAAATGTCCTATTTTTCTGGATATTAGAAACAAGATGGAGTGTGTGTGCACTTTAAGACCACTTTTAAGGTGTGTTTTTCTGAATTCCTGGGATGAGAAGTCTTTTCACTGGCTTCAAAATACCTGGAAAGGCTGCAGGTGAAAAATGAGGTGAAAGCTGAGGCAGAAATGAAATAGCATATCCATGGGTCGAAGTGAGGGGAGATGGGCCATGCACTACCCTTTGGGAGGGGCTTCTTGAGGATGAGCAGCTTCTATGGAGACTTCGTAGTTCTGCACAAAAACGTGTAAAGGCTTGTCGTATACCTTACATCGGGCTGTTCTAGAACCATCTGTTCTTAAAGGCTTCATCCTTATTAGCAGCACTGAGGGTTCACAGTGAATTCAGTGTCTTCCCTGAGTGCCACCAAATCACCTTTTCCTCCTGAAAGCTGCAGAACGTGGGTTTGAATGTCAGAGGAGATGTCAGGGTGGCCTAGGTCTGTGTGGGAGGAAGGAGCATCATCACCACCATCACTGCAGAGCCCATTGCTGCTGGGCAGAGCTTTAGGGGTGGTCGCTGGGGAAGCCACTGCCCCGTGGTGCCCGGCCACCTGCGCAGGGTCCCTGCAGAGCCTCCTCAAAGGGGAATTTGTTGTTTTACCACCCACAGCTCTGCAGTGTGAAGGAGCTGAGCACGTTTTCCCCCACCAAACGCACACTTTAAAAGCAGCCTCTGTTCTTTTACTGCCATTGATCCCTCCGTTTGAAAAGAGGAGTTGGCCAGGATGGCATCTGCCCATCCCTGTGTGATGCTGGGAGCACCGAGCCCTTGTGGAGGGGGGAGAGGAGGAGCTGGGGCAGGAGGAGGCCTTACGAGATCATACACTCTTTAAAATTGATATTGTTATGAAAGACTATGATGGAAAACACACGGACTAGGTTAAGATTGCCCAGCAGACCCTTCTCCAGCACCAGAAACTTCTGCAGCCTTCCCTGTTCTTCTCATGGGCTCTCAACAGGTGCACACAAACCAACAGTCAGTCCCTACAACTGGTTTATATTTCAAGAGGGATTAAAGCTCTTCTACAAAAAAGTAGTGGAGGGGAGCGAGCACCGGAATGGTCACGGTGGCCTGAGAGCCCTACGTGCTAACCTTAGCAGAAAATGCAGGCTGTGAGGGCCAAAGTGGTTGGAAAATTGCAAGAGGCTGAGAGCTTACAGTGCTGCTGGAGGGCTGGAAGTGTTGGGGTTTTGTGGAGGTGGGCGACCACCCTGCAGTTCCATCTGCGGGGTGAGATTGGGTGAAGCTGGGATGGGTGAAGCTCCAGTGATGCTGCCATCGCTTCTGCTGGGTCCTGGGGTGGGACTGTCCTTATTTCCCCTAAGTCCAATTTTACAGGGAACAAGCATGTCTTTCAGACCAGAGTCTGCAAGTTTCTGTACAAAATACCGGGCTGAGGTACCTTCAGTGTCCTGTGGTGTCCCTTCTCCCTGTTGCTCCCTGCAGTACTTTGGTTTTGTCCCCAGTTGTACCCTCCTGCGTTCTTCACATCCAGAGAGCCACATTTGATGAGTCCATGGCGCAGGCACTAAAATAGGTTTATTTTCAGTGTTATTGGCTCCTCTTGTGGCATTTTGCACCTGCGTCTCTGCTGGTGGGGGGTTGTTGGGACGGTCTGTGTGCAGCAGCGAGCACCCACGGATAAAACTGACTTTCCAGCAGCAGGGAGCGCAGCCCTTTCCTCCCACAGCCCTTCCCCAGCGGGTTTCCTGCTCTCTCTGGAAACCACCCCTCAGTGGGCTGGAAACCTGCTGCCTTCCCAAAAATACACTGGAGCCCCTGCAGAAAGGCCGTGGAGGTGGGAGCTGCACGGGGTCCTGGCGATGGACCTCCCCGTCCCGCTGCACGGAGCCAGCTGCACCCACTCCTGGGCAATACAGAAGCTGAATCAAAAGAACATCTTAATGAGACCTGAGGCTTCTGTGCCCGAGCTTATGGTGGCTGCCCAGCGTGTGTGTCGTGTTCGCTGTGTCTGATGTGCCACCTCCCCTCAATTTAAGGTGAAAACCTTCATCCCAGGCATCCCTGCAGGAGCTTGGGGCTGGTCTGCATGGGCAGGGGTCAGATGGCGTTTGGGAGGTTTGAGGCTTCACAGGACACGAGGCACGGCTGAAGAAAACATCTGAAGGATAAAGCACATTGTTAGTTCTCTGCTGGCGGGTAATCTTTGAGGATAAAGCCTTTCCAACTCGGGTGTCCTGTTCTTTTCCAGATGTCGGTGAGCCAGCCGCAGTCGGGAAGAGGTATGCCTTGTTTACGCTGCGGAGGGACGTGCACGGGCTTCGAGCCACATTCTTGGAGGTATTGTCTTCGCCTCGGTGGGCCCTGCCCCGACACTGCCCCTTTGGTCCTGTCGGTATCCGGGCTCCAGTGACTTTGGGCGCGAGGAAGAGCTGCAGAGCTCTGGGGTGGTGCAGAGAGGACACGCTGTCTACCTTGCTGAGAAGATGCTTGTGCTCCCTGCTCTCCATCCCTCACTCATCTCTCCATCTCTCACTCATCCCGCTCTCCTGTTATTTTTCTGAATTAAAAGTCTCTTCCACGAGTGCTTAATCCAAGCCGAGGCTTCACACAGTGGGTTTTCTCCTGCCTTTGCTAGCACTGCCTGCTCGCTGGGAGCTGAGGCTATCTCTGTGAGGTTGGGCACGGGTCTTGGCAGTGAGCTGTGGCGTGGGAAGAGGAGAAACCTGGCCTGAGAGATGGCCCAGCCCGTGAAAGGGTCTCACCTGCCCCAGGACTGTCCCCAGCACAGCCCGGCGTGGTTGGTGCTGCTCGGTGGGATGTTGGGAGGGAGCACGGTGCCGAAGCTGCTGCACCCTGTGCTTGGTGTGAGCCACCCTCTGCCTGCTCTGGGCTGCCCTCCCAGCCACCAGGTTGTTTGGAAGCTACTTAGTGAGGGCAAACGCGTCCCTGCTCGCCCTGGAGGCAGGGAAATGCTGCCCCAGAGGGTAATCCAGCGTGGGGGGTTGGGGTGAGCTGAGCGCCTGGCGCCCTCGTTCTTGAGCACCACGGTGGCTATTGCTGCTGGTGTCCTGAGCATCCCCACGGCTGAAACGCTGTGCTTAGTGCCAGAAACGCCTTGTTATTTGATACTTTATTTTCAGTTTTTCCTCTTAAAACCACTAAAACAGCCGCCGGTGTGGGTAGCCGGTGGGAGCCGAGCAGAGCCGTGTCTGGCTCTGGGCAGGGGCTGCTGCCCTCTCTGCTTCCCAACGCCAGCAAGGGAAACAAAGGGGGCTTTGAAATAGAAGGCAGCCCTCCAGATGTCATTAATTAAAAAAGAATTAATGCCCTCCGAGGCTGTCTTGCACAACACTAGCCTCTTTTCTGCGAGACCGCAGGGCTCCTGCTGGATGTGGGTCCCGTTCAGGGGTGCCCAGAGCCCGCAGCCCTGTCTGTGCTGCTGAAACCATCCACGGTGGTGGCACCCACGTGTGTCCCGCAGCCTTCAGTTCCCGGTTTCAAAACCTCAGCTGCATGGAAATCCAAACTTTAAAACACTCCTTCGGTTGAAACACTTTTTTTTTTTTTAATTAACTCAATTAGAGGCTGGTTTGAATCATGCCTGTTCCAGGATCCTGCTGAAATACTTGGGGTTGCATCAGAGCTAGTTTGGCCTCCCTGCTGTTAGAGTGTGACAGAAAAGCTGGCCGGCAGACCGCGGCCTTACAGACTTATCTCTATTATTTATGGCTGTTATAATTAAAATCATAGACACTTCAGTATCAGTTCCTCTTATAGCAGTCACTCCTTCAATGGCATGTACAGCTTTGTAAAAGGCGAGGCTCGTGCTTGGCTGTTGGAGGCTGGTGGAGATGATGCTGGGAGGGCTGGAGCCCCTCTGCTGGGAGGACAGGCTGAGAGAGATGGGGGTTGTTCAGCCTGGAGAAGAGAAGGCTCCGGGGTGACTTTATAGCAGCCTTCCAGTCCCTAAAGGGGCTCCAGGAGAGATGGGGAGGGACTCTGGATCAGGGAGTCCAGTGACAGAATGAAGGATAATGGTTTGACACTGAGAGAGGGGAGATGGAGCTGAGATGGGGGGAAGAAGTTCTTTGGTGTGAGGGTGGTGAGAGCCTGGCCCAGGTTGCCCAGAGAAGCTGTGGCTGCCCCATCCCTGGAGGGGTTCAAGGGCAGGTTGGAGGGGGCTTGGAGCAACCTGGGCTGGTGGGAGGGGTCCCTGCCCAGGGCAGGGGGTGGCACTGGATGATCTTTAAGGTCCCTTCCAGCCCAAACCATTCTAGGAATTGTGCTGAATTCCCGTGTGCAGCTCAGGCCATGGGAGCCTTTTGTCTTCTGCCACAGCCCTGGTCTGTGCTCAACCTTTGGAAGAGGCTGATGCCATCACATGATTTCATGCCTCCCATGGCCCAGCTCTCATCGAAAGGTTTGATCTCCTCTGTCACCCGCAGGAAGATCTGCAAGTCGTGCAAATGCAGCCAGGAGGATCACAGCCTGAGCTCGGACCTGGAGGACGACCGGAAAATCGGGCAGCTGCTGTCGGACTCCAAGTACGTCACGCTCACCGCCCGCGTGAAGGGAGGTGATGGCATCCGCATCTACAAAAGGAACCGCATGATCGTCACCAACCCCATCGTCTCGCGGAAGGACCCCACCTTCGACACCATCACCTACGAGTGGGCCCCCCCGGGGCTCACCCAGAAGCTGGTAGGACAATCCACGGCACCTTTGGCTGGTGCTTGTGGGACTTAATGGAGAACGTAGCTGGGCTTGGGAAAAAGTTATCGGGGGGAAGGGGGGAAACAGTAAAACATATGGTTTGTCTCGGAGAACAAGAATGTGCGTAACACTTCGTATTTTGGAAAAGTGCGTAAATAACCAGAGTAGGTAGGGGAGGGGAATGGATTGCCTTTGTGTTTTTATAGGCTTGCTTACATTTCTGGGAGAAGTCTTAATGGGTTTTACAATTAGAAAGCTCGCTGCTTTGGTGAAGCTCATGTCCAGTAATAACATTGCTGAGGACAGATCCCATCTCAGCTGTCCTGCCAGCCGTACAACGCCTGTGCGGCCCACGCGGGCTCCAAACCCCAGCCTGGGGGTGGGAGCCATTCCTCCAGCCCTTCCCGGGGCGGCTGGGACCTGGTCCTCTCCCCAAACACCCCAGGAGGGCCCCAAGAGGACAGAAAGCTGTGGGACATGCACAAGGGCGATGGGTTAACTCCAGAGACCTGTCTCCGTGCTTCTAAAACAGTGCAGTCTGGAGCAGGCTCCTGGGAGCAGCTCGGAGACAAGCTCTTTGGGTGGTTTCTTGGGGCAGGAGGGGCTGCCCTGGGCTTTGTGCTCCCCGTTGGAGAGGGAGGTCCTGCCTGGCTTGCTGAGTCTGACCTCTTGCAAACCTGGCTGTGAGCCCGTCCCGAGGGCAGGCAGCGCAGGTGGAGGTGGCTGCTGGGACACTGCCCCTAACGGGGGGTCATTTCAGCAAACGCTTCAGGAAATGATGCTTCAGTCTCTCTCAAAAGCAGAGAAATTAAATCAGGGTGGAAAGAAGTAATGCTGCTCTAAATCCAGTGCTGTAAATTATTCTGTTACAGAAATGGTAATGCCAAAATAACTGTTGTCTTTGATGTAGTAATAATTCTCTTTGCTTACCGAGGTACTCACTAAAATGACTGAACATAGTCTGGTCCAAATAGAATCATAGAAGGGTGGGAAAGGACCTTAAAGCCCCCCCAGTGCCACCCCCTGTCCTGGGCAGGGACACCTCCCACCAGCCCAGGTTGCTCCAAGCCCCCTCCAACCTGCCCTTGAACCCCTCCAGGGATGGGGCAGCCACAGCTTCTCTGGGCAACCTGGGCCAGGCTCTCACCACCCTCACACCAAACAAGTTCTTCCCCACAGCTCAGCTCCATCTCCCCTCTTTCGGTGTCAAACCCTTCCCCCTCCTCCTAGGGCTCCCCTCCCTGATCCAGAGTCCCTCCCCATCTCTCCTGGAGCCCCTTGAGGGACTGGAAGGGGCTCCAAGGTCTCCCCGGAGCCTTCTCTTCTCCAGGCTGAACCCCCCAACTCTCTCAGCCCCCCCTCCCAGCAGAGGGGCTCCAGCCCTCCCAGCATCTCCGGGGCCTCCTCTGTTGTACATTTTGTAAAGAGAACTCAGGGTGAAAAGGGGGAGATAGGGAGTGTGGTCCCATGCCAAGGGCTGGATCCAAACCCAGGCCTCCAGCCCCACCTTCTCTCCTGTTTTCCATCCGGATGAACAATATTGCTGTGTGGGAACAAATGGAAGTGGTTTTTGGCATGTGGGAGTGTTAGCCAGCAGAGCCCTTCTTGAGGGAAAGCGTTTTACTGGCTTTTAGCTGTGTTGTGGTACTAAAAACATTACATATTACACTGTCATTAGTGGACAGCTTTTGCTCTTCAAATTAAACAAAATAGTTTAAAGCTGCTGAAAATCGCAACCAGATTTTGTGAAGAATTGGGGAAACAAATGTGGAGCTGCAGCTGCAGACCCGAGAGGCAGACTGACTTATTGCTCCTAAAAACCCAGTTGCCCTCATCCCCTTGGAGAGAGCCTGACTGGGGGTGGCATGCAGCCCACCCTGGGAATGCAGTTGGGGCCTGTGGTGCTAATTGGAGCTAATTGGGCTTAAATGAGGGACTGAGAACCCCGTGCACCCAGCTGCCTGGCTGCCTCGCCGTCTCCTCTCCCTTTCTCTCCTTGGTAGGGCTGGCCCAGCAGGGATGTTTGTTGAACCCCTGTTTGCCTCCCCCCGGTCCCGTGGGAGCTGGGGAGCTCAGCGGGATGGGGAGGACAATGCTGGCACCCTTCCCACCCAGCCCAGCCCATTCGTGGAGCCTGCTGCCCAGCCTGGGGTTGACTGGGGACCCAGGATCGCTTCTGCCCTCACCGTGGGGCCGGGTGGGCTCCTTGCTGTGAAGGATGCTCAAACTGCAGCTCCTGGGCTGCTTTCTGCTCCTCTGGGCCTGGACCCCAGCTGTACCCCCTTCTGCTCGTCTGTTTGGGGTGATCCCAGATGCAGCAAACCCCGTCCCTGTGGTGCTGGCGAGGGGCAGCTCCGGGAACACAGGCTTCAGGAGAGCTTTGGGACTCCTTTTGGTGCCCCAACGGAGTGGAGGATGTCTCAGGTCAAGTAAACAACGTGCAGGAGCTTTGGAGACAAACCTTGATAAATTTTTGGCTTTGAAGATCTACTTGACAAAATTCTTTAGGAGAAATGCTGGATGTCAGCCATTCTCAGGATAGTTCAAAAAGGGATTTGGGCCAAAAAGCTTTGAGTGCCTAACTGCCTCGGTCCGGTGGTTTCCTTCTGAAGGCAGGCTGGAAACTCGGGGTTGTTTTTAATGTTGTTGTCCTGAAGTTGATGGTCCAATAATAGGAGGAAGTTCAGAGTGTGTTTTCATTAAGCCGTGCCTGGAGAAGTTATGAAGTAAATATTCGGGGTCCTTGGGGAAAGCGAAAAGAACAGATCATAAAATACCTCCAAATCCAGTAGTTAACAGTGAAAACTTAAAATGCTCTTCCTCAAAATGGTCTGTGCTAAGGCAGCATCGCATTTGACCATAATAATGCATGGTAGCAGCAGAAGAAACCACCTTTTCTAATCCTTCATTTCAGTTTTTGGTGTCAGGTTGAATTTTTTTCCCTGATCTATTCTCTGGACACATCTGCGATTAGAACTTTACGCGTTCCCTTGATCGGGGAGTGAAACCCACCCCGTGTCTGTGCAGACACTGAGACCTGATCCCGGGCAGCCCCTCTGGACCCTCCAGAGAGACCTGAGGCTTCATCTTCTCTCCCTCCCAGCACAGACGTTGTGGGTGCAGGGTCCGGACTGGTCTGAGTGTTCATTACTCTTGGCACCTTTGTAGAGGATTAAGAAGTTCTTCATTAAGATCTTACTGTGCTACTGCTCTGTGAGTGCTCTTGCTGGGGCAGGCGGGGGGGGCTGTGGTCCTGATGCCCCTGCTCCCACAGCACCGGGGCTTTGCCTGCTTTTCTTTCCAGTTATGGGGTTTGGTGGGGCAGTGCTGTCAGGGAGTTCTCACTTCTTGCTTCTGCTGTTCCTGTTAGGGTTTCTCAGGTCTGTGAAAGCCATCTGTGCACTGGGTCACTCCCACAGCATCCTGCGGCTCCGACAGGGATCACACAATCACAGAATGGGGTTGTAAGGTTCCTCTGGAGATCATCTCCTCCAACCCCCTGCCAGAGCAGGTCCCACAGGAACGTGTCCTGGGGGGGGCTTGAATGTCTCCAGAGAAGGAGACTCCACCACCTCCCTGGGCAGCCTCTGCCAGGGCTCTGCCACCCTCACAGGAAAGTTCCTCCTCATGTTTGGGTGGAACTTCTTATGTTCCAGTTTGTGCCCATTCCCTCTTGTCCTGTCCCTGGGCACCACTGAGAAAAGCCTGGCCCCATCCTCCTGACACCCTCCCTTGAAGTATTTATAGGTGTTGATCAGATCTCCCCTCAGCCTTCTCTTCTCCAGACTAAAAAGCCCCAAGTCCCTCAGCCTCTCCTCATCAGAGAGATGCTCCAGGCCCCTCATCATCTTTGTATCCTCTGCTGTGCCCTCTCTAGCAGTTCCCTGTCCTTCAACTGGGGAGCCCAGAACTGGACACAGATTCCCAAGCAGCACCTTCTCCCATGGGGTGACAGCCCTCCCTCGGGTGAACTTCTGGATGTCAGTCCCTCCGTTGCACGATGCACCGAGTGCTGGTGTCTGATATCACAATGTGCAGCGACCTTAACCTGGGGAAGAAGCCCTGCCTCCATGAAATCATTAATCCGTGGTTGTTACAAATCGTGGGGCAGGAGTCTTGCCTGCTGCCCTGCTCTGGCTCTGCAGGTTTCACAGAGGAGACGAGTCGCTCAGGGTAGTGCAAACTTTTCTGTATTTAAAAGGCCTTACCTTTACAGTAAACAGTTAATTGCTCCTCTACTTTTTTTTTTTTTTTTTTTTTCCTTAAATTCATTTTTTTCAAGTGCTGACCAAGTAAGAACCAAATCTAACGCAGCTGGATGCTGGTCTCTCGGCGGGAATGGCTGGGGGCCAACTGGCTGCCCCTGGGCTCTTCACACCACAATAGGAAAAATGCCGGGAGAGGGAAACTCCCTTCCCCTCGGCCCCGGCCAGGAGCAGTTAACTCTGCCAGCCCCGCCGTGCCAGCGCCCGCTCCGCCCGGGACAGGCCGCGGTCTGCTCGGCTGTTGAGATACTGGCGGGTGGCCAGTTGAGTAGAAGACTTTATTTTGGAGACTGTCTGTTCCTTGGCGTTGGCTTCCCCTGGGGCAGGGCATCAGTCACCAAATGATTCTCCTTCCCTGCGGAATCGGTGGTCGGGAAGAGCTGGTGGCTGTCAGGGTTAAGAAGGAGGCTCAGCTGCCTCTGACTACTTATTCTTGTATAAAGATACTACTTTTTTAAAGTGATAAAGGGGGATCTTTTGCTGTAAACCATGCAGCGTGCAGCCCACGAGGGCTCCCCAGAGCTCTCCCAGTGCTGGCCCGGGGCAGTGGGAAGCTGCCTGCTCTTGGATGTTGATGTTCATGGGTTTTCTGCTCTTTTCAGCTGCCTCCTTGTCAAGTTACCCGGGACAGTGGCACGAGTGCTGGGACGGAGGGTGTCGGGACTTGGGTGCAAACTTGTGAAGGAAATCTCTGCTGCTTTGCTCTCCTGGGGAGTCTGGCTTCTTAAAACAAACAAACAAAAATCCACCAGAAAATCCAAAAAAAACCCCACCCAACCTGTTTTGTGAGGATGAAATGATTTGCAGTGGCCTGGCTGCTATGTGTGTCTAAGTTTTACTTCACTTCAGCCTGAAGTGTGGGTTAGAACGACTCCGGGTTGGAGGGAGGGGAAGGGACGTGTTTTCTGCCACCGCTCCATAAAAGCTGGTGCTTCCCGGCGGGAGGGGGCTGGGAGTAACTGTGGGTGCTCTCTCCCTCCCTCCCAGGCCATGCAGTACATGGAGCTGCTCCCCAAGAAGATGCAGCCGGTGGCGGGGACGGAAGGAGCGTACTATCGCCGGCGGCAGCTGATGCAGCAGCTCCCGCTGTACGACCAGGACCCGTCCCAGTGCCGCGGCCTCGCCGAGGGCGAGCTGAAGCTGATGGAAGACTTCGTGAAGAAGTACAAAGCTGAGGCGCTGGGGGTTGGGGAGGTGGCCTTGCCGGGCCAGGGCGGCGGTGGGAAGGAGGAAGGGAAGGCGCAGGACAAGAGCATCGCTGCCGGGAAACCCTCCGAGTCCACCAACGGGGCCCTGGAGAGCACGCCCGCCGGAGAGCACTACGTAAGCCCTGCGCTCGGTGGTGGGATGGGCTGGCAGGGGGATCCTGGCACGGGTTGGGATCCGGGGAGCTTTTGGGGAACAGATTTGGTCTCAATGAGAGGGGGGAGAAAGATTGTACCAGCCAGGGTTAGCTGTTCCGTGTTGATGGTGCTGCTCCTGAGGGCTTCTCCATGCTCTCTCCAACCAGTGGAGCAGTTCTGGGGAGCTTGGTTCCATCATGGTGTGCTTTGGTGCAGCACTGAAAGACCTCAGTGGGTCCCCTGGGGTGGTTCTGCCACCTTGCTGAGCACCAGTGTCCATCCAAGAGGGGTGGGAGATCTCCTCTTCACCATCTCCCTTCACAACAAAACCGGTGCTGAACTACCGAGGTTCTCCATTAGCTGTAGGAGCCAGTGACTTCACCTTTTGGATTCTTGGCAGCTCTGAAAGACTGGGCACGACATGTCCCTGGATGATTATATGTCAATAAGGTGCCCAAGATCAGAAACTGTGTTTTACTGTGAGCTAGTGAGCATTTCCAGCTGGGCTTCCCTGCCAGCACAAGTGGAAATACCACAAGTGACAGGAGGTGGTGGCTCAGTCTAATTAATGCAAAGCTGTGAACATGGAGATAGCGCTCCCAGGGCTGTAATCGCTCTGGGGGACTTTGAACAGACCATGTGTGTCTCTGGACATAAAAATACATTTCCACAGGGGGATGATTGAGATTCCCTAACACCCTGTGAGATTTATACTCTCCCAGCGCCGTCTGGAGTGGCCATTGTGGTTGCTGAATAAATGCTTATCATAAAATATGGGGAGTGAAAAAAACCTCATACCAGCCCTCATGAAGGAAACTTGCAGCAGAGGACTTAAAGCTGGGGAAAAAAATGGTGTCCGAGTGTTCTTAAGGCAAGATTTTTCTAGGCATTGCCGCACTGAGATTGTAACACGTTAAGAGCAGTTTTCATTTTCATTCCATATTGGGTAATGTCTCCCCTCTGCTACGGGCTTTTCTATCCACATGCATCTGACTTTTGGAGCCCAGGGATACAGTAAAAGTTTTTCACTATTGCAGCAAAATCCTGAACTGGACAAAGAATTTTAAGCTAAAAAAAAAATAGCCAAAAAAGGAAGGTTTCCATTAAACATATCAATAAAAGTCATTTTAGCAATGAGGGTTTATTTAGACTGCAAGGTCGTCCTTCCAAATAAATACATAACTGTGATGTTATTCTCTGTAATTTGAAGCATCATTTGTCTGGAGGCACTCGCTGAAAAATGGAACGGCTTCAAAAGCAGTTGCAGGAGATCACTTCGACCAGTGCAGGCTGCAAAGTGCTGGGGGTTCTCCTGCTGGAGACAAACCCCCTGTCTCCCCCCTAAAAAACACCACTCGTTTCAGTTCTATCCCCTGTGCAGGAGCTGATGAGCTGGTCTGGTAGGAATGGACTGAAACTTGTTAAACTTCCAGAAGGCCTAACTGGCTTTCACAAAACTGCACTGGGAGAAAAGTTCTGCCATAGAAAAATGCGATATAGCACTTTATTTTGCAATATGTGTGGGGCTGAAAGTAGATGGGAGCTGAGGGAGCTGGGGGTGTTCAGCCTGGAGAAAAGGAGGCTGAGGGGAGACCTTCTCGCTCTCTCCACTCCCTGATCGGAGGGTGTAGCCAGGGGAGGTTGGTCTCTTCTCCCAAGGGACAAGCGATGGGACAAGAGAAAATGGCCTCATGTTGCGCCAGGAGAGGTTTAGGACAGATATTAGGAGAGATTTCTTCACCAAAAGGGTTGTCAAGCCTTGGAAGAGGCTGCCCAGGGCAGTGGTAGAGTCACCAACCCTGGAGGGATTTAAAAGCCAGGCAGATGTGGTGCTGAGAGACATGGGTCAGTGGTGGCTTTTGTCAGTGTTGGGTTGACGGTTGGACTCGATGATCTGAAAGGTCCCTTCCCACCCAGGCAATTCTATGATTCTATGAAAATGAACCATGTAAAGAATGAGAATGGCTGTAAAGGAACTGAGAAAATGAAGTGCATGAAGCCAATGACAATGACACTGGAGGCTTTGATGTTGTCAATGTATTCAGGGTTGAAATGTAGATGAGCACACTCCAGATGTGGAGGTTTAGGTACCTCTGCTTGTGTGACCATCTCCTGTGTGTCTCCTAAAACTAAACACGACGCCTGCTCTCGGGCCTGAGGAAGCTCCCCTGATCCTCCTCCACCGCTGCTCCCGGGGATGCCGCCGGTGATGCCCACAAGGGCCACCAGCTTGTCCAGGGGCACTCCAGGCCATGCTGTCCTCGGCTGCGAGCGTGTTTGTCCCAACCCTCAAAGACTGGCAGGATTGCAGCAGTGAAGAGGGCTCTTTGAGAAGATATGAGTGCCTCTGGTTCAAGGGCATAGGGGGAAAGCACGGCGCTGAACAGCTTATTTTGGAGATCCTGATTCTCAAGCAGTTTGTGTGTTGTTTTTTCGTTGACTCCATTGGAAGTAGGACACAGAGTTGAATCTATGGAATATCAAACCTGTCAATCAGCACCAACAGCTTGATTTTACCATTATTTCAGATCGAGGTGTGAGTCCAAGCTACAGATTTTTGAAGGCTGGATGTAGAGGGGAGGGAAACCTAACAAAACCCCACTACCCTTGCTCTGGAAGAAAATGAACCCGGAAAGCACCAAATCTGCACCAAGACACCAGCTGGAATGATTTCCTGGGGTGTTTGTGTGGTCTCTGCGCTGAGGTGGTTACACCTCCTGTTGCACGCTCAGGCCAGCTGTGTTGAAACTGGTGTGTAACGGGAAACATATGGGGCCAACGTAAATCATGGAGGCGTCAGAGCTCCAAGAGCTCCTGAGTGCCTCTTGGCTGCAGAGGGGCCCCATCCCTGTAACGTCTGTCCTGGGTGACTCAATGTTCTCCACCGAGCACAGAAATCACCTTTAACCCCCTCAGAACTGGAAAGTCTTCTGGTGGTACAAGCCACTGGGTTGGAATCCAGTCAAATCCTGAAGCAGTTGGTCGAAACGAGCCATTGCCCCAAAGGTCTCGAGGGGAGCGATGCGGGGAGTGCTCGGGGAGGGCTGGGGAGTCCGGGGAGCTCCGTCTGTGGGAGCTGCCGCTGCAGAACAGCAGCCAGCGGAGACAGCAAGTTTGGAAAAGCTTAGGAGAAAGGGACACTTTCTTGGCCAACACCTCGGGTAACTCTGCTAATTAAGTCTTCACTCCTCTCCCTCCACAACAGAGATGTAAAACGAGTCCCAAGCTGTAATCCCCATCTTAAATTTGAAGAGCAGCTTTTTGTTTGCTGTGTAAATGGCAGGAGGATGGAAGTTGTGCTGCTCAGGAAAAGCCCTGTGAATAATTGCCATAGAGAGAAGCAGCAAAATAAGTGGTGGGGTTTTTTTAACAGTTCTTATTGGCAAGAAACTTGAGCTGGGAGTTGGAAAGCTGCTGGTGTTTGTTCTCGCTGTTAGATCTTGCAAGATAAGCAGGGCTGGGATGGATGGATGGGTCTGGAGGCTCCTCCAGCGGGGAGGCAGCTGCAGGGTCGGGCTCTCCAGTGCCCTGAGTTGCCCCAAGTGCCCTGAGGGGGGGTACTGGGGACCTGGGGTCCTGTAGGATGGGAGCCAGCCCCTCCACACCCACTGCCGTAGCATCACCTACTTGTTCTCTTCTTCACGGGGGCCAGGAACAGCCCAGCTTCTGCATGGCTGGAGCTGGTCCCTCCTTGGCTTGGGAGGGCTTAAAAACACCAAGCCCTTGGTGGTGGAAGGAGCCGTCTGAGCAGCAATATCTCCTTTCAGACCCACAGGAAAACCACGCCAGGAAATACTGTGTCTCCTCTCGCGCTGCCCTTGCTGGTCATTCTGGGTTTGCTGGTCAAACAGGAGATGCCCCTCAGTGTGGTGGGATGGCTCCAAGGGCTGTGGGGCAGATACTGAAAATCCAGACTGAACAAGGCTGGCAAATACCAAAACGCGTGGTGTGCTAGAAATAATAGTGGCAAGACAAAGAAAAGCCACTTGGTGGAGGTAGAAGGGCCTGTAGCCTTCTGCTGCGTGAAGGGAGAGACGAATTGTAAGAAAACTGCCCAGATGCGAAGACTGGGCTCTTTAGTGCTCGTGCCATGAACTGGCAGAAGGGGCTGGATGTGGGGGGGAGCTCGTCTGTAGTGTGGGGCTTGCAGAGCTCACGGAGGAACCCCACCTCTGTCTGTCTGCCCCCAGAGAGGCCATTGCTCCTGCTTTACTGGGGTCGTAGCAGGGGGATCACCCTGGGGTCCTGTCCTCCCAGCACAGGGTTCCCCTGGCCATGGTGGCCAGCTGTGTGGTTAGGAACGAGGCACTGAAAAGATGCCCTGAATCCATGCATCTGGGAAGTAGATACCTTCCCTGGAGGGGTTTAGGGCCAGGTTGGAGGGGGCTTGGAGCAACCTGGGCTGGTGGGAGGTGTCCTTGCCCAGGGCAGGGTTGGGGGGGACTGGATGGGCTTTAAGATCCTTCCAACCCGAACACTTCTATGGTTCTATGAAGTGTCTGTGAAAGCTCTATGAAATATCCATCCCGTGTATGGGCTGTGCTCACCCCCTGCCCCTCTCTTGCAGCGCTGCGAGACCTGCAAGCAGGCAGTGCCGGGGGACTGCCCGGTGGTCTACGCCGACAGGGCCGGCTACTCCCGGCAGTGGCACCCGGCCTGCTTCATCTGCTGCCGCTGCGCCAAGCCCCTCGTCGACCTCATCTACTTCTGGAAGAGCGGGGCGGCCTGGTGCGGCCGCCACTACTGCGAGAGCCTGCGGCCCCGCTGCGCCGGCTGCGACGAGGTGGGGACGGTGGGGACAGTGCCATCACCATCCTTCTGCTCCCCACTGGCCATGGGCTTATCCAGGGCTTCTCCAGCCAGTGCCTTGTCCTGGGATGCTCATCCTTCTGGGGCTGCTCACTGGGGCTGTGGCTGGAGGTGCCTAAAGAAAATGGGGCAAAGCTGAGATGTTAATGGCAGTCCCATCTAGCTCTGCCCCGTCTGTCTCAGAGCAACAGTCCGGCTCCACTTGCTTTTGGGGTTGTTCAGCCTGGAGAAGAGAAGGCTCCGGGGAGACCTTAGAGCCCCTTCCAGTCCCTCAAGGGGCTCCAAGAGAGATGGGGAGGGACTCCTGATCAGGGAGTGTAGCCATAGGATGAGCGGGATTGGCTTTAAATTGAAAGAAGGGAGATTTAGATTAGATACTAGAAAAGAATTGTTTGGTGTGAGGGTGGTGAGAGCCTGGGCCAGTTTGCCCAGAGCAGCTGTGGCTGCCCCATCCCTGGAGGGGTTCAAGGCCAGGTTGGAGGGGGCTTGGAGCAACCTGGGCTGGTGGGAGGTGTCCCTGCCCAGGGCAGGGGGTTGGAACTTGATGGTCTTCAAGGTCCCTTCCAACCCAAGCCATTCTGTGATTCTATAATTTAAAATCTGATGGGTTTTTAGTGCTTAATTGCAGCCCCTTGACTTTGTCTCACTTGCCCAGGTGCAGTCCCATGACTTTTATTTTCCTGTTCCCACAGCCAGGGCTCACGAGCATGGTGGGAGGTGTGGGGCTGGTTCTCCCTGCTCCTGCCCTGGAAATGAATACTTCTCCATCTGTCTGTCCCCTAGATCATCTTCTCAGAGGACTACCAGCAGGCGGAAGGGATGGCCTGGCACAAGAAGCACTTTGCCTGCCTGGAGTGCGAGACGCTGCTGACGGGCAAACCCTTCACCCTGGACGCCGCCGGGCTCCTCTGCACAACCTGCAGCAAAAGCAAACGCCTCTGAGCAGGAGCAGCGCCCCCGGGGCACAGCGGGCTCCCCGAGGGCCCCCCAGGACTGGGGTCACTTGATGAGTACATCAGAAGGGGAAGGTTAAAAAAAAATAATAATAAATTAGAGCCTGACTATTCAGTTGCAAGCAACTCGGTGCCCCCCTGCATCCCATCCAGCGTGCAGGAGAATGTTCCCCTGGGGAGGAGGCACTCGTACTCCTGCGGGACGAGGAGGGACTGAAAAGGAGGTTCTGTGTTGAGCTGGTTTGTATAGAGTCTCTCCAAGCTTCTTCTGACTAAGATCTTGCAATAGTTTTTTGGAAATAACACATCTCAACAATAACTCTTGGCATACTAAACCCACGGTCACGGTCACAAACGAGGGTGGTTCTTATTTTTTGAAATCTGTACTGGAAGTTTACACTAACAGGCTGCTGACAACTGTACTAAGGCAATGGGTTTGGAGAATTTGATTAACCCGGGTGACGGCTTTCTGAAAGCAAATGATATGAAATTGCAGCAACGTGCAGCTGTAGCTTTCTCCTAAGCGTACAATAATGCAAACATGACGCCTTGGCACACAGGGTTTAATGCTGGGGCGATGGGAAGGGTGCAGCTCTGCCCCGGGGCTGCTGCCTGCCTCGGCCCCTGGGAGCTTTAGCCCTGAAACTGGGGTGCAGGTGTGTCCTGGTAGGTCCCCCCACTGCTCCCCGGCCACCAACTGCCTGTTCCTCTGGGCGAACGTCCTTCCACAGAGCGGCATTGTGCTCCCACCGCGACGCCGGAGGTTGTTAAGCATTTAAAGCATGGGCCTTTATTTCAGCTGGGTTTGACTGAGGAATTTTATGGAAAACAGCTTTCCAGCCTAAGCTGTCTGGGAGCCAGGGGGAGGGGGTGCCTGAAATGCTGCAGTGGCAGTTTTTCCCTGTACTGCATCACTGACCCCTCCGAGCCAGGGAGCCCTCCCTTCCCCTTGGGGCTGGCAGACCCTCGCCCTGGGCTCTGCCCTGCTCCTCATCCCGCAGCTCTCCCGTCCCCATCCCCGTCCTCTCTGGGATCTGAGAGGGGTGACACCATCCCAGGATCCAGCACTGAGTCTCTGCAGGTAGTATTTGTTCCCTACATCAAGCGATGCTTCTGGTAGCCACCGAGAATATCAGGTAGTCCAGGCTGGCAGGTGTCTGTGTGCTTGATCTTTTTTTCTCACATTAAATGTCTACATTTTTTGCCAGAGAACTGGAATATGTGTTTTGCAGAGGTGAGTGTGCAAGGAGCTCCCCATTGCTGGGTTTTCTCTCTGCTGAAGATGCTGGTTTCTTTCAGGTGTGCTCCACAGGGTGGGCGTTTGCCTCCTTGTGATAAAGTGACTTCAGATGAGGGTTGGGGGAAACCAAACGCGCTGGGGGGTTAGAGCCTGCCAGCCATGGGCCGGGCTCTGCCCCACACGTGGGGGCTGCCCCACGCCGGTGCTGGGGAGGAGCAGGTCAGTCCATCACCCTGTGTGAGCTGGTGAGACACGTGTGGGGTACGTGGGGTGCCTCTTGGACCCCCCCCCAGCCCTGGGCTCTTGCCTGGTCGATACTCCTGGAAACCCTGGGGTGTTTAAAGAGAGTCAATGAATGGCTGCCGTGGCACAATCCTGAGGTGATGGAGGAGTGTCACAGGGTGTCGTGGCACACGTGCTCCTGCGGTCGTTTGTCTGTCTCAGGTTGGTTGGTGGCTGCACTGGGTGCCTGGGGGTGTCACTTGTGGGAGTTCAGTCAGATGCTGCAGGTCGGGATGTGCAGAGCTGATGTTGTGTGAGGAATAACAAAGCTGCCTTGGATCAAGCTCTCTGGTTATCAGTGAAGTGGGAGTGGAAAATAAAGCCCCGTGCTTAGCTCTATTGCCTCTTCTTCCTTCTGTTACAAGGGAAATATCTTTACATCTTTGTAAACTTCTTTTTTTAAGACACATCATCGTTCTAAACCCTGGGATGTAAAGGCAGCCAAAAGTGGGCAGAGGGGACAAGGATGCTCCCAGCTCCCTGAGGCACGTTTGCTGTGTCTGTGGGGCAGCACCTGCACGTAAGCCCTTTAGAGATGAGATTTCCAATGGACCCCTCTTCTCCTGTGGTCCCCCCCTGCCTGGGGGGTGTGTGGGTGCAGGAGATCCCCCTTCACCACTCTTAGGGTTAAAACCCTCAGGGGCAGGCGGTGGAGAAGAGGTGGGTCTTGTTTTCTCCGCTGCAGAAAGATGTGGGTGGTGGGAGCTCAGGTAGATGTCAGAGTGGAAGCGTGGGGAGAGGACAAGGTTTTGGGGGG